TTACATAGTTTCATTCATATGTAGCTTCGCTTGTGGTTGATCGTATTACGCAAAGCTTCAAGACATTGTAACTATTATGCATATAATTGCTAAGCGAAGTATTCAACCGATTTGATCTATTTTACGCACAAGAATACACTGTTATTCGAAACAGACGATCTCTGATTTTAATTTAGACAACCTACATATTAACTGGCGTATACCGTATAAAGTCAACCGAAAGTTCGAAAATCTTTAATATGAGGTAATGGGGAGAGTCAGATTTTAAAATATTTCCCATGTAGGGAGCAGGGTAGCATACTAATGCCACAATAATGTTATTAATCAAATTTAATGGAATTTAGTACATTATTCCCTGAGATATGGTTTTTCACTTAAAGGTGATCGGTGACCAATATCTGATTTTGATAATAACTTCTATGAAACTCGTTTGTGCCGTGTTGGGCTTAAATTTGTGTCTGACATGTTAGGTTAGTGAATTTTTAGTATTTTTCAACATAACAGTTATATCGGGAGTGGACGGTGTTATCATCCGATTTAACCTATTTATAAACTGCGATAAGAAGCGTTGAAAAGATTTGTCCTGTGCAAATTTGGTTAATATAGCTTAAGTGGTTTGGGAGATATGTATGTATATTAAGCCTATCAGGGGCGGGACTACCCCCAGTTTTTAAAGATTTTTAAACCAGAGGCGTGTTTCCATAATATGATTCGTTGTACTAAATTACAGTAAAAAGATTTCCTTGCAAGCAGTTGATATTGATCGTTCAGTTTGTATGGCAGATATATGCTATAGTAATCCGATCTAAAAATTTTTTTTCGAAGATTGCATTATTGCCTTAGACTATGACCTTTGCCAAAAAATCCAAAAAATTTGGATATATTTCAACGTATACGGTGTCATTGCAAATATATTTATTGAAATAAGTGTACAAAATGTGTAAAACATGTATTATTTTTTACAATTTTTGAACTTTAAATTCAAATATCTCGAAAACTATAAGTCTGATAATCCTGAGACGTCCTCGTCTATCCGTCCATACCATCAGATCGCGGCGCCAAAGAAATCGTAATGTTGACAACTATTGAAGCGCCAAATTTTTCAACAAATTTTTTACGCTTCTCCGTAGAATATTGTAACGGACTTCTCGATAAATCGTCTACCTGTAACTCACCCTTGAGTTCGATCACTAGATTGTTAAATTAAAGTCCCAATTTAATGGCTATACACTTATCTTTACTTTTATTTCCAACAACTTAACACTTATTGCTCGATATTCGAGTTTACAACTTATTGCTTATAACTTAATTGCTTTTTACACGGCAACACTCTAATTAGAACTGTGTCTGCTGCACAATCCGGCAGCCCTTATATAGTAAATTTTTAACAAAAGTTCGCTACTAGAACATTTTGGCAACTACGAATTCGCTGTCTGGTTGCTTTTGGCTGTTTATCGTCGATTCTGATTTGTTCTGGTATTTGTGTTCGCCACACCGCCCTCTACCTAAATCTGATCGTCCCGATTGGACATATTTGCGGTACCAAACGCTGGAAGCCGTTCCAGATGAACCACCTTCATTTTATTCCTTGGTCTTCCAATGGTCTGTATGCGATACACTACATTATTGAGTCGTTTAATAGCCTGATATGGTCCTTCCCAATTACACTGTAATTTGGGAGAAAACTCTTTCTTTCGTTGTGGGTTATATAACAATACCAAATCGTCTTCAATAAAACCCTCAGAGTTTATTGCCTTGTCGTATTTTGCTTTCATCTTATCGCTCATAATTTTGGTGCGCTGTCTCACCATAGCATGTATATCCCTCATCTCGTCTTCTAGGATGCTTTTGAATTCCTTAGTATTCCTTCCTCCGTTTGCGTTAATTCCAAATTTTAAATCAATTGGTAGTCGAAGATCGTTACCAAAAATTACTCTTGATGGAGTCGTCCCCGTTGTTTCATGTAGAGCAGACCGATAAGCCATCAGGAACAAGAATATATGGGTATCCCAATCTTTTTGATACTTGTCCACAACTTTCCTCAAATGTTCTTCCAAAGTTCGATTGAATCGTTCTACCATGACATCGGACTGCGGATGTAGTGCAGTTGTACGGGTTTTCCGGATACCCAGCTTCTGGCATATCTTCTGTATTAGAGCTGATTCAAAATTTCTCCCTTGGTCAGAATGTAATTCTATTGGAACACCATATCTCGATACCCAATTGTTGATGAATACATCCGCTACTGTTCCTGCCTCTTGGTTAGGAAATACCTCTGGCCATTTGCTGAAATAGTCCATGACTACCAAAACATATCTGTTTTCCAATTTACTGATAGGAAATGGACCAGCTACATCCATGGCTACTCGCTCAAACGCCGCACCTGAATTGTACTGCTTCATCTTACCATGACTCCTGGACCGCGACCCTTTAGCAGCAATGCACTCGACACAATTGGCGATCCACTCCGTAACTGATTGATGACAACCAATCCATAAAATCTTTGTTTTAATTTCTCCAAGTTTTAAGTGATACCCATGTGTCCTCCACTTGAACCGTTGTGCAGCTCGTTGAGAACTTCAGGAATTCTTACTTTTGTAACTGACTTCTCGATAAATCGTCTACCTGTAACTCACTCTTGAGTTCGATCACTAGATTGTTAAATTAAAGTCCCAATTTAATGGCTATACACTTATCTTTACTTTTATTTCCAACAACTTAACACTTATTGCTCGATATTCGAGTTTACAACTTATTGCTTATAACTTATTTGCTTTTTACACGGGAACACTCTAATTAGAACTGTGTCTGCTGCACAATCCGCCAGCCCTTATATAGTAAATTTTTAACAAAAGTTCGCTACTAGAACATTTTGGCAACTACGAATTCGCTGTCTAGTTGCTTCTGGCAGTTTATCGTCGATTCTGATTTTTTCTGGCATTTGTGTTCGCCACAATATTGTTTATTCGCCATTTCTCTTTTAACATGTTCATATTTCGATCGATAGTTTTAACTCTTTCTAACATTATGGTTCAATATTTAATTAAAAATGGCAGTTGGACAGTTGTATCGCACAACACGGACAGTTGTATAACACAAATTGTTGCCTATGATGTAAGCGTAGTATAATCTCATGGTATTGCAATATCCTCCCAGCAATCCAACTGTGGGTTAATCATACGTTTACAACCAGATAGCAGTATAAGATTCCGTTAAAGTTGTCATGAGTTTTTTTAATGCCCAGTTGACAAATCTACCCGAAACTCTTGTGTACGAGTATATGTTTTACTTACTTGTTACTTATTATCATCAGCTCTTTACAATGTATTTTTCAGAGATAAAGATATGCCCAACTCATCTGTCACTGGAAATGAGAGAGCAATTGCTAAATATTAAAACCTCCTGAACTCAGTCAACCGTCCAAGTTTAGGAAGTTTTGACGTTTAGCACTTGGAAAAAGAGGGACGGCCAGATTGAAATCCTCCAAAAAAAAATATTTGAAGAGATTTCTTGCCGCTGTTGAAGGTCACTAACAAAAATTGGAAACAATGAAAATCAAATAAAACGCGAAATTGAAATATATGTATGTGATGAAATCTTTTGTGATGCCATGCTTCGTGGTATTAATTTTCAAAGAAAATGATAAAAAAAAATTATTAATTAAGAGCTAATACATTTATTTAACTCATTAAGTATTGAAAGTTCACAAATCAGTTGTTTTAATGTATCACGTAATCAAAAAAAGGGTTCAAATAGTTTCTCCATATGTTTGACGCATACATGTATAATAATATTATATTTAATCTTAATAAATGTTGGGTATTTTAATTTAACCCTTATGTTAGTAACCAACTTTACCGACGTCTTTTAGCAACCGGGTACCGATCTGAGTATTATTATTATTTTGTTATGAATGTTATGATAGAAATAATATAGGCAAGATAAGAGGAAGAGAACGTAGACAACTGATCGAATTTGCATCTAAGTCCAAGTTCACACACGGAGTCTTGTCTCCAAAACCGGTTTTTTATGGTGAGGGGACGACGAGGAAAGACGAAGGGACGCTCGTGCTCGGGTGGCACGCTTCGTGTTCTTGTTCGTAAATTCTTGCTGCTACGTAATTCAATATTCCTCTTCATTTTGAAATTTTATTCTTGGTTGCAAAAACGTTTGGTTTCAAACGATTACATATATACGATATGTTCGAAAATTTGAATTTCGTTATCTATTTTTTGTATGTAATATGCAAATATGCATAGAATAATTGAAATTTTGTAAAAAATTTTGAATAAGAATAAAATTCAGATACTTAAAAATATTTAATTTAAAATTTTTAATAATATTTAGCAACATTTAATGTAATAATATATACATATATAATTTAGTTCTATTTAAACTAGAGTTACTCTTACTGTTTTATATTTACATAAAATATTAAGACGCTTTCATAATTATTTCTTTTAACCGCAAATGATTTAGTTCGAATATCATGCTACATATTATTTAAAACAAGAAAAGTAATTAATTCACCAATCTTTTGTAATAAATATAAAAAAATTGCACTAAAAAAATTACAGGTTTTTAGTGATTCCCGATAGATTAGAAAATTCCCGCCATTCTACCATAAAATTTGGTCTACCACTTTCATGGTAATTCCTTGCAAGCAAAATATGAGACCACCATACTAACTGACAAATGAAATATGTAACGCTCTAAGTGTCGCATAGCCGAACCACACAAACATTTGCGAAAATTGTATGAAAAGGAATGACAGAAAAACTCGATTCGAGTTGTAGGACTCTTTTCGCTCGTGTGAACGCACAGAACAACACTAAAAGAGACTTTGCCGATAATGAGCGATAAAATAATCCCCATGTGAACAGCACCTAACAAAGGAAAACAAACAATATACAGTGACTCACACAACTAACCAGATGCGTGCATTGCCATTGTCTTAAAAATTTTCATATGATACATAAAATTAAAGGAAAAATCGTCAATTTTATTTTTGAAAACTTAAAAATTGTATTAAATTAATTCACCGCGCATAACTTAAACAAATAACTTGCTACATACAAAATTCGCTCCACACAACTAACCGGATTTTTCAAAAAGCTAACGATTACTAATATTTCGTAGCATATCCTTTTGCAGATAAAACCGCTTCTAGTCGACTTGGTACAGAGGCAAAAAGCTTTTGACAAAATTCTGGTGGTATTGCCTTCCAAGCCTCCAAAATAGCCGTTTTGAGTTCAGCAACATTGGAATACTGCCGTTGGTACACTTTTCGACTGACTTCTTGCCATACGTGCCAACGTTCAGACCTGGGGATTGGACAGGTGTATCTAGTACAGAGCAATTGTATATTAACCAAGTACGAGGAATCTCCGATTTGTGCTTTGGATCATTGCGTGTTAAAATATAAAATTGTCTTTAATTCCTAATGTGACACGTGATTGCTTTAGATTTTTCTTTAATACGTCAACATATTGGAAGCGATCCATAATACCTTGCACAAAATAGAGGTTGTCCGGTCTGTTAGCCGATACACATCCCCAAACCATTACCGACCCACCATCGTGCTTAAGAGTTGCCCTAGTATGTTTTGGCAAGTAAGCTTTGTTTTTACGCCGCCATACAAAACTGCGGCCATTAGATCCCTGCAAGTTAAACTTGCTTTCGTCTGTGAAAAGAACCTTAAAAAAGAATATATAATCTGTTATAATGATTATCGAATCAAAATTATGACATTTACCCTTTCCCACAATTCTTCAGGCTTTTTTAAATGCCTTTTCTTTCTATTTTTTTCGGATATGTACGGCTTTTTTATAACTGCTCTACCGTGTAAATCAAAGCTTCTAGGGCGAATTGTTTCAGCTGAAACCTTTGTCCCTTTTTCATTTCCAATATATTTTTCACATTTTCCGCCGAGAAAAATGGGTTTTTTTCAACAATTTTGACTACGAACTTTTCTTCGGCTTGTGTTAGCTTCTTTCCTTGACCAGCTCTACTAATATTATTAATCCTGTTTCCTTCTCATACTTTTTTATAATATCGAAGACAGTTGAAGTATCATATTGTCGTGTTACTTACCCATAGACTTACCGATAACTACTAATATGCATCAAAAGTACCGTTACTTGTAGAAGATTACTTCTTGGAATTTTCCGGTTAGTTGTGTGGAACGAATTTTGTATGCTGCGTGTTATTTTGCTAAGTTTTGTGCGGCGAATTAATTTGTTACTATTTTTAAGTTTCCAAAAAGTAAATAAAAGATTTTTCCTTTAATTTGATGTATCATATGTGACATTTTTAGATTTTGACTTTATGATTGGATGGTACCATCATAGACGTGTGAGTCACTGTAAGTTTTTTTTTTAATAATTATGTATGCAACTATAATGCGTACATATACAATAATGTATTAACCTTACTGTATCGTTTGAATTCTAAATATTATTTTTATACTAACATCAATTTGTATTTATGTATATGCACATTATATAATATAATAATATTATACGTATAAGTAGGTGTCATTAATAGTAATGTTTTTAATAACAAAATTTGAATATTTAATCATTTTGAAAAATAAATACATAATGTACATATGTACAGCGTCTACCAATAGGGATGATGTAATTTTGACAGCTCGTGGCGGCCATGTTTGTTTACTTATCAATTATTGTTCAGTAAGATTTGCCATTTCATCTTGCCACGTTTCGCTTTGGTACAACTCGAAATTGTCCAAGATTATAATATTAATTCACGTTTTCCGAAAAATTCACAAATTCACGTTTATCGAAACATCATCATCTCAGATGAGTCCCATTTCTGGCTAATTAGTTTCGTCAACAAACAAATTTGTTGCTATTGCGGTGAGTCAAACCCTCGTGTCGTTCAGGAGTCGCAATTGTACCCAAAAATTGACCGTTTGGTACGGATTGTGGTATTGCGGCATCATCGGGGCTTATTTCTTTCGAAATGAGGCAGAAAATTCCGTTACCATCAATAGCGAGCGTTATAACACGATGTTGACCGACTTTTTTCTGGAAATTTGGTTAAATCGACGCGGATGATCTCCATTTCAAACAAGACATGGGTACATGCAAAGTTTGGCAACTCGTTAATTTCAAGAAATGGCCCAGTCAAATTGCCGCCGAGATCAGGCGATTTAACGCCTTTAGATTATTGTATCTGGGGATACGTAAACAGTTTACTTCAATCAACCACCAATGCTCGATTAGCTCGAAGACAACATTCAGCGAAAGAAGAAATTACAGCCGAAATGCTGCACCGGGTCATCGAAAATTGGCGTAAACGGGTGGAGATACGCAAACGGAGCCGTGGTGGATATTTGGTCGACATTTTGTTCAAATCCATAACAAAAAACAAAACAGAACCTAATTTGAGTGCTTTTCTTCATTTCAACATCACGTCGTTAATGTTGTTGTTTGTCCCTTTAATAAATTCGATAAAGTATACATATAAGAGTACAGATAGATGAATTTTGTAAGATGGCCGCAGAGACTGGAATGGGTATGACCGTGGACATGTCAAAAGAAAAATTTAGGGAACTTAACTTGAGCGTCGTTGGGAGAAAGAAAAATTAACAAATGAGGTTGTTGCAACATATGGTTTTCTGGGATGCTATACATGAAGTACGAAGTGATAACGAATTAGCAAATTATTGTACACTATTGAAGATAGTAGTGTAAATTGGGTGTTATTTACGTTGCGTGATGTTGATAATTGAGTATCAAGTTATGTTGTCGATAGATACAGTTATTTGTTTGAAAATTCAATTCACTAAAAAATCTTCAACAAAAACTTATAAATTATGTTTATTTCACGAATCAACAAAAGTGTTTACGTTTTTGTTACAATCTACATGCTCAAGAGAATTACGTCAGAAGTGCAATTTGTCTTTGTACCAATTGTCACAGCCAAAACCGAAAAAGGTAACAGTAAGTTCTTGTCGTAATCTTGTATTCTATCATACTTGACTATTTTATGGCCAATTCACATAAAACTTTTACATCGCTTTGCATCAGACATTTGTTTTTACAGAAAGTTCGATGTACGGTTGTGTATGAGTACGTGTTTCAGTACGAACGGTCACACAAAGTGAGCAACGTTGTATGTGAATGTCCCTTTAGAATATATAATATCTTATCTGTCTATAATAATATTAGGTATATAAGTATGTACATATGTTTATTTGCAAGTTCTTAAACTATGTAGGTAAATATGTTTTGTATTGTTAAGTCTTGAATACATGTAAATTTTAGGCTTATGTTTCTTTTGTTTTTGTTTATGTACATACATATATACATATATATATGTTTTGTACAAAAAAGTAATAATTAAAATGAGTGGAATGTATGTTTTCTTTTAATAGTTAGGATTACATATTATCGTATTTTGCTGAATATTCTTACTTATACACATAGACTAATATAAGATTAACTCTGCTGCGGCGCATCTTAAAAAAGATGTTTTAGAAATACGAAAGTCATAAAAGAGATAATTTTTTTCTCTTGACAACAAAAAAATGAAATATTTTATCAACCCTTACCAACTTAAAAATAATACTTTTGATTTATCAATATGAAATATATGAACAAAAGGAATTCTGTTTTAAGATTTAAGTATTTTGTTCCGTAACCTTTTTTGATATAACTCCTTTTAGACGATTTTCCATTAAAATTACTAAGCAGGTTTTTGGTTACCTCTTGTGAAATTGTATCTAGTACAATTAGATATTAGCCTCTTCTACACAATTACGACTTATGTTTTAGGGGATTTTTCTTGGTAAAGCCCTAAGTCGGTGTGCAGACATACTATAGCTTTTCTTCACGAAGTTTCCAACACCAGTTGCTGGTATGCAAGCCAAAACCATAACATTTAAACCACCGCGATCTCCAGTTGTTTATTACGCTTACGCCAAATATATAAAATTTTTACTCGTCTGAAAGAAATGTTGGGTCCTTGACAATACGTTTTTTGGTGAATGTCAGGCGAGTAACTGTTTTTTCACCAAAGAATGGCTTCTGTTAGTGCATTCGACTTGTTCTAAAGAAAGTTTTTGCTTCATCCTTGTTGAGGGTGGAATATTTACAAGTTTATCCGTATTAAGCTGAATTTTCACAAACTTAACTTGATGAATCATTAATTTTGTCTATTCCTAGATGACTCTAATTCGCCTACCTCCATATAATATGGCAATTCACGGCCAACAAGATTTATAGTCTCATGTCTGCATGTATGTACATATGTGTTTTAGCGGATCGATTTTCGTTCTATAAAATCTCAAATGCGGGAAATGTTCGACGGATCATTCTGACTAACTTTGCCTAAAAGCTATGAGCCCAAAACTGGTTACGAGTCAGCGGTTTTTAATGCGAAGTTGTATCTTTTAGGGATTATGAAAACTTCCTCGTCAGTTTTTAAGATATCCGAATGAAATTTAATACATAGGTGCATTTTGATATTCCATTGATCATTTGTCGAAATCCAGCCAGATCGGACAACTACAACGTGTATCTCCCATACAACTGATTATTCAGAGTTTTTATTTTCTGATGTCCTGCAATTATATTAAAAAGCTAAGAGCACGTAATTTTGCTGAATTGTCCTCCATTACACGCTTAACAATGGCAGTAATAATATAGAAAATCGGACAACTATAACATAAACCTCACATACAACCGATTAGTCAGAAATTTTAATTAAATGGAAATTACAATAATTTAAAAAGGCATTGTTTTTATACTCTCGCAACCTATTGCTACAGAGTATAATAGCTTTGTTCACCTAACGGTTGTTTGTATCACCTAAAACTAATCGAGTTAGATATAGGGTTATAAATATATGAATGATCAGGACTAAGAGACGAGTTGAAATCCGGGTGACTGTCTGTCCGTCCGTCCGTGCAAGCTCTAACTTGAGTAAAAATTGAGATATCTTTATGAAACTTGGTAGACATGTTTCTTGGTACCGTGAAACGGTTGGTATTGCAGATGGGCGTAATCGGACCACTGCCACGCCCACAAAACGCCATTAATCAAAAACAAATAAATTGCCATAACTAAGCTCCGCAATAAGATACAAGACTGTTATTTGGTACACAGGATCACATTAGGGAGGGGCATCTGTAGTTAAAATTTTTAAAGTGGACGTGGTCCCGCCCCTAATAGGTTTAATGTGCATATCTCCTAAACTGCTAATGCTATAATAACAAAATTCACTGGAAGCAAATGTTTTTAGCACTTCTATTGACGGTGTGAAAATAGTTGAAATGGTGGCAACTCCGCCTCTCTCCTCATATAACGGTACTGTTAAAAACTACTAAAAGCACGATAAATCAAGCACTAAACACGCCAGAGACATTAAATTTTATCTCTGGGATGGTATGAGATGACTTTATAGGAACCGCGTTCAAAATTAGACTGTGGGCGTGGCGCAGCCCACTTTTAGGTGAATACCCATATCTTGGGATCTGCTTACCCGATCAACCAAATTTGGTGTATAGCGTTCTTTCCCATATAACACCATTTTCAATTCCATCTGATTCTTTCACTTTCCACTATGCATATCAAGCAACAATGATTATATAGGGGTAAAACTTTGCGTGAATAATACATTTAAAGTATGCCACCTTGTGACGAAAAATTGACTAAATCGACCCAAAACTGTCCAAGTCCCTAAGTACTAAATATGTGGACCCCAGTGCCTATAGTGGACCTTCTACCGAAAATATCAGTCAATCCACAAAGAAATCTCAAACGAGTATACCATTTGACTTTGCGAGAGTATAAAATGTTCGGTTACATCCGAACTTAGCCCTTCCTTACTTGTTTATTCTATATTGTATTGGACTTTTAAGTGAGGTTTTCTAAAGGCGTGCACGTCAATTATTTATAAACAACTTAGAACTTTGCTTTATTTCAATACTTATACTCAAACTTATACATTATATATACGTAAACGTAGTCAAAGCTCAGTTAGCTATTCTAATAACTTATTCTTGGTTTTCGATTTGCTGCTGCTGTCGGGCAGTAATTATTCGAACGCATCGTTGCGGTGCTCCTCATAACTTGGTGCTGTATCATCCGAAATAAGAGTTAGATAATAGCTTTCCCCAGGTAACGCCGGCAGAAAATTAAATTTTTTTTATTGTTTTGGAACAAGTTATTTGGCGAAAAATCAGCAAACTTGTTATTAAAAAGTAAAAAAAGGTGAGTTGTGGGGAAAATCTGAAAATCGTAAAACAGATAGTAAAAATACTCATAACTTCGCAAATTTTGCTCCAAAAATATTTGGAAATTTAATCAACAATCGTGAGATGTTATGCATTCATTTAAGATTAAAAAGAAAATGAAATAAAAGAAAATTAAACGCCCTACTCCCTCCTTAACCGTAGCATTGTAATTTATTTCGAGAAAAATTAAAACTTTATGTATGTATTATTGAATTGATTGAACCAATTTTATTCTCATTTCAGCATGTAGCATAATAAGAGAAATAAACAGCAAACATATCAGATTATTGGTGGACTTATACCATTTGCAACATATTACGGGTAATATAACGTATGCCTTCGCTGACTTCAAGGACATAATTGGACATATTCAAATTGCGCAAATTCCTCATCGGCATGAACCTAATATTGCCGGAGAAATTGATTTTACTTACATTTTCGACTTAATAAAATTGATTGGATATGATGGCTGGATTGGATGCGAATATAAGCCAAAAACTAATACGTTGGAAGGCTTGAAATGGATACAAAAATATAATATACAATTATAAATAATAATATGTATTTACACTTGCATAATTTGTATACTTCTGCAAGAAAGTATAAGAGTTTTGTTCACCTATGGACTGTCCTTCCGTGCAAGCAATAATTTGAGTAAAAATTAAGATAACTTGATCACACTTAAAACGTGTCCCTTCGCACAATAAGAAGGTTGGTAGACGGAATCGGACCATGGTCACGCCCATAAAATTCCAATCCGGAAAGTATAAAGTTATATAAAACAAGTAACGAAGGACTAAGTTCGGATGTAACCGAACACTTTATACTCTCGCAAAGTCAAATGGTATACTCGTTTGAGATTTTTTTGTGGATTGACTGATATTTTCGGTAGAAGGTCAACTATAGGCACTGGGGTCCACATATTTAGTACTTAGGGGCTTGAACAGTTTTGGTTCGATTAAGTCAATTTTTGGTCACAAGGTGGCATACTTTAAACGTATTATTCACGCAAAGTTTTACCCCTATATAATCATTGTTGCTTGATATGCATAGTGGAAAGTGAAAGAATCAGATGGAATTGAAAATGGTGTTAAATGGGAAATAAGCGTGGTTGTAGTCCGATTTCGTCCACTTTTTCGCACTATGACATAGAAATATAAAAAGAACGCTATACACCGAATTTGGTTGAAATCGGTTAAGCAGATCCCAAGATATGGGTTTTCACCTAAAAGTGGGCGGTGCCACGCCCACTGACTAATTTTGAACGCAGTTCCTATAAAGTCATCTCATACCATCCCAGAGATAAAATTTAATGTCTCTGGCGTGTTTAGTGCTTGATTTATCGCGCTTTTAGTAGTTTTTAATAGTACCGTTATATGGGGAGTGGGCGGCCGATTTCACCCATTTTCACACTGTAGATAGAGGTTCTAAAAACATTTGCTTCCAGTGAATTTTGTTATTATAGCATTAGCGGTTTAGGAGATATGCACATTAAACCTATTAAGGGCTGGACCACGCCCACTTTAAAAATAAAATTTTAACTGCAGATTCCCCTCCTTATTGTGATCCTGTATACCAAATAAGAGTCTTGTATCTTGTTGTGGAGCTTAGTTATGGCAACTAATTTGTTTTTGAATAATGGCGTTTTGTGGGCGTGGGAGTTGTCCGATTACGCCCATCTGCAATACCAACCGTCTCCCGGTACCAAGTAGCATGTCTACCAAGTTTCATAAAGATATCTCAATTTTTACTCAAGTTAGAGCTTGGACGGACGGAAAGACAGTCACCCGGATTTCAACTCATCTCTTCATCCTGATCATTTATATATATATAACCCTATATCTAACTCGATTAGTTTTAGGTGATACAAACAACCGTTAGGTGAACAAAATTATTATACTCTGTAGCAACAGGTTGCGAGAGTATAAAAACAAAAAATTAAATTAAAAACTAATTTAGTATGGCTCATCTGTGCTTTAAAATTTACCATGGCCGTATTGACGCCTAGCCTAACTCCAATGGCTAAAAACTTTAAACCGGCTGGCTGTAAACATTTCATCTAACTTAACTTGAATGTGTATTGGTCTGACATCGACGATAACATCTACAGGTAGTTTTCATTTCTCTCGTGGGTTCCCGCCAGCAGACCCGCTGCACCTGTTTCAGGGGTTTAATGCGGCATATACAGGTTGGTTGATATGTTTCTGCGCTCGAAATGAAAAAATACTGTTTTTGGTACGAAATATATTTTTTTAATAAATATGATCTCCCTTAACTTCAATACACTTTTTCCAATGATCCTCCAATAATTTTATGCTATCCGTATAATGACTTTCCGGAAGCTCTACGGCTAAAATAGCTTCTTCATTCGACGAAAAACGCTTTCCACGAAGGAATTGTTTCAGGTTTCTGAAGAGGTAGTAGTCACTGGGAGCCAAATCAGGTGAATATGGTGGATGCTCAAGCAATTCTTACTTCAATTCGTTGAGTTTTGTTATTGTTAAAACAAATTTATGAGTGGGTTGCATTGTCTTGATAAAAAATTACTTTTTGTTCATAAATTTCCTTTGCTTTTAAACCCTTGAAAACAAAAAATCTAATCACTGCGCGATATTAATTTTTTCCCTATTTAAAAAATATTCTGACACGTCAATTTCAAATGACTTGTAAACAAAGAATTAATTGACAGAATGACTTGTAACTTTGCATGTGTACCAACTTGAGAAAACAAAAATTTGGAGCTAGTGGTGCTATTTCTTGGTGAGCACTATTCACTTTTCAACCAACCTGTATGTATCTAAAATGAAAAGTTTAGCATTAACAACCTCGGGCACGAAATGTTATGAAACTAAGTGAGTATATGTCCTATAATATAAGTTAATCAGGTGTTGTAGAATCTGATAGTTGTCGGATTCAGAATTAAAACCGATATAAAAATGTAGTAGGGGCCATGAATTCAGATATTATTGGTTTGACGTTCGAAACAGAAATCATATCGGTTTTGGGTGTCACGGAAACCAATTTTATTGGTTTTGTTTTCAGAAACAAAGCAAAAAGATAGGCGCTGACAGAGTTGGAATTAGTTTATATTATTGTTACATTTTAATTTATATTAATTTTTTTTTAGGGGAAAACAAGAATAATACACAAAATGTCATAATGATTGAGTTTATGGAAAAATACAGATATAGGAGAATTTACGAAACGTAAATTAACAACCTAATGCGTCTTTGCTCATTCGATAATGTGATGTAAATCTGTAAAGTAAGCATGTTCCATATAGGGTATTCCCCTCTTGCATCAAGTGGATTACTGTGATCTCTTAATATCTTCCTCTTAATTTTTACTTTGCTTGATGGAATTTATTCAGTATTTTCAGTCCAAATGTATTTATTTGCAAGTTTTGTCACATTAGTAAACAGCTGATTCGAATATTGGTTTTGCATATGTTCGAAAAGACGATTTTGTGACACCATTAAAAATCAGAATTGGCTTTCAATTTTGACAACTACGCAAATCTGTTTTGGATTCCACAACACCCCTGGTTAATACGAATGCATATAAAAAAATGTGTATGAGTATTTTTTTTTTTTCAAAAATTTTGAAACCTGTATATGAGCATGTGCTTTTATGAAAAATTTTTAAGGTACACACCACCAGAGAGCTGCAACGAGTATGCTTAAGTTAGATCAAACGTGCCGAAAACACAATCAAATAAATTCGGCTGATCATACACAACATTGTTGATCGATTCAAGTACCGACCAGCGTCAACTGATTTGATACAACACGAACAATCTATTCCTCGAAATCATATCAGCACATTGGAGCATTTCAATCATACAAACATGAGTACAATTTATTTGCGGTAATTGCCTGTAAACGCGAACGTTCATAAGTAAATCATGTATAAGCTGATCGCTGGTGATTTAAACTTGTTCTTTGTCGCTGATTTGAAGACCAACCAAGAATTTTCCAAAAAAAATTAAGAAAATGTCTGCGTTGGCATTATTAAGATTGTTTATGTTTGGTTTCGTCATTTCTTGTGATATTTTTAAGCGCGGAAAACACACTTGCTGCGAAGAAAATCGTCCGTATTGTGTTTTACACGGCGGCAACATTCGGCGAAAATTCTTCCAACGACGTCGCCGAGAACAACGGATATTATCTCGAAAACTATAAGATATATATATATTCCTGATCCTGACCCATACCCATTTTATTCCCGAAATCCTGGGACGGTATTCGAAAGTTTTCCCATTTAATCTGGTAATTTCAATACAGATTTTAAGAAAGAGGTATTTGCTCCACTTACTGAATACTTGAGAAGAGTATTTAACCCTTAAATGAAAAGAAAATATACCCATCATAGGATATAGTACTACAATCAATGCAGTTGTTACTAGATTTATTGAAGATATGGAAAATTTTCTTATTTTAGTTGCCAGAACATATTAGTTATATTTATTAACTGTGAAACTATAGACGAAGATGTAGTTAGTGGCAATGTTATCGAAGCTCATAATAATTTAATGATTTAAATAAATCTTGTTTTTATTTAATATGCGTTTATCACCTGAATTATTGTATTTATTTTGACAAGATATCTTAATTTTTACTCAAGTTACAGCTTGCACCCAGATTTTAACTCGTCTCGTCATTTATATACTTATATATATCTATATATATAAAAATGAAACCCGTTTCCCGTTGTCACGCCATAACTAGAGAACGGCTAGACCATTTTGGCTGTTTTTTGTTTGTAGTTTTCTTATACTCTGTAGAAGGTTCTTACGGAAAAAAATATTAAGAAAATGTCTCAGAAAGATTGAAAAAATACATTTAATTTTACATATTTTAAAAAACGCGCGTAATGAATGTCATCGTCATTCACAGCCATAGACTATATTGAAAGAGCATAGTTTGTTCGGAAATGTGGTTACTTAATTAAATTCTATCGCTATTTACTAATTTTTGAAAATTACTCGCCACAATTAAATGTACCGACTTTGACGGTAATATTAATAATACCAGTGATGATTTCATTTTAATGTAGGTATTTAATAATAATAAAATATGTATACTATGAGTTAGATTTCAGAACGCAGTATACAAACTTCGCATAACCTATTTCGTAATCTGTGGTAATCTGACACACATAACCTAACATAGCGCTAACAATAATTTTATTAAATTTTTGATAAATTTTGTTTTGTTTTAATGATTAAGAAGTTTGTTGTTTTCTAATAAGTGTTTGTTATTCACGGTAAGTTCAAAGTAAGTGAGGAACACCGCGGATCGCGAAATCAAGTGTTAGCTACAATATTTATAACTTATGAACGGCTTAACCCATTTGGCTTTAAATTGGTGAGGAATAGCATAGAATCGTCTATTTTAAATAATTTACTACTGTTGTTAATGTGAATGAAAACGTAAATTATCTAGATATACTCGAAATGGCATCACATAATCTTTGGTTGAAAATTATTCAGAGCTATTTCTATTCACCTCAATTATGCCTCGGTTAACCTTTGATAATCAAAAATATTACAAGAAATATTATTGTAGCAACTATTTTGACTGAAAAATTTAATGGAGAAATGGCCCTCTTGCCACGTTTTGCAATGATACTGTCAGAACGTACGATACAAATAGAGCTTACTTAATTGAATTTAAAAATGTTTATAATTAAAAACTAGAAATATCATTTTTAAAAATTAAGAACGATCAACCTCTTTCTCTATTTCAAACGTTATCTACTAACAACTTTGAAAATTATTCATTTGTTTCATACTTGAATATAAAAATAATAAAATAAAAAAATCAACATATAATATTTTTTGTTTATTTGTGTTTAATAACAAATCGAAGGAAATTAGTATTAATCATTTTCAACTTTGGAAGTGATCCGCTTGGTTATTCTTAGATTGGAATTAAGGTTTTGTTTTATTTCATAAATACAATTTTACTGTATTGAATAGTATGTAATTAACCTTAGCAACGCGTGGACGGGGTCCTCTAGTATATGTATATATCTCCATATCTATCACAATTAGATTGATGTGTTACAAACCGTTAGGTGAACAAAACTATCTGTAACAACATATTGGGAATAACTGCTTCCAAACATATTCTACACAGGCACAGTTTTGGAAACGATAATACCACAAAAAAGTTGTTGTTCGACAGTACTCCCACTGATTTCTTTGCGGATAGGGATTGTACGATATGATAGGTAGAAAAGTAATAAGGTGAGTATGTGTCTTGTATTATCCGTCAATAAGATACAAAATAGATATATTGTTGATGGTAGGTGAAGTACCTTAATGAAACTCAGAGATCATCTGTTTCTCCGTTCCCACGACTGTCGGATTTATGTAACCGGAACGGACCCGGATTCTTAGCCAAGGATTGTCAACTCGGCAGAGTTCTGCTGCTACAATAATAACAACAACAACATCTGTTTCTGTTAATTATATGTGGTAATGCTAACAGTAGCTAGACCTATCTCTCATATACCATAATCTTTCAGTTGGCCGTACGCCTTATACCGTATTTATCGGTCTATATGTAAGATATATTTGTACACTGAAAGTATAATATAATATTAGATATACTTTAGTTTAATGCCGAAAATATTATATTGTACCACATGCAATAATTTCCGTTATTCTAACAAACCTTACTACATATATTATTAGTTTAGCGCTGAACATGAATGTAGTTGGTCTAGACCTTGGTCTAAATCTCATAGCCCTAATATCATCAATTCCGATCTTCTGGTTGACGTTTTGCACATCAACTCAACATATTAAATTTAGCCTTTTGTTAAAGTTTATGTCAGAAATAATTCATTTGAGGATGATTAAATATAAGATTCGTTGACGGAAAGTAAAATATAGTTATACAACTAACTGAGTCTGTGACATGTAATATAACTTAATAAAATACCAAATTCTATTGTAATGAGTGTTGCATTCTTTCGCAACATTTATTAATTTGACGTTTTGCTAAGACCTGAAGGTATTCCCCGACTTTGATCCCTGCAAGTTGCAAGGGTATGAAATATTCGGTTGCATCCGAACTTAGCCCTTCCTTAATTGTTTAATATATAGTTTTGCCAACACCTATAATTATTCCGCCGGCTGTTATCCTTGCAAATTGCAAGAGTGTAAAATGTTCGGTTACATCCGAACATGGAAGGGCTATGTTATTACACTTGTTATTTATGACTAATAACTCTATGAGACTATATGAGTCCCCTATATGCGTAAAAGAGAAACGAATGATAGAATACAAATTTACGTCAACATCAAATCCGTTTAATTGAGCAAAGCCTCATTAAATAACCACACCACTCTACTCGGGAGAAACTGGCGCACCCTAATAATAACCACCACATATTCACCAATACACCACACCATATGACACCACACAGGACGATACAAAACACCCCAGCACCGCGCGTGTACATCACCAGCTAACAAAGGGATGGTCCGCGCAGCTTTTCACCTCATTCGAAAAATAACGATTCTGCGCGCAACTCTTTTCTTTCGTTTCGACCACCATTTGAGTTAGCTCTGATCGACATCGCTCCAAGCGTTTGTCTTTTAATTCGCGAATAAGAATCCGGTCATTGGCGTAATTGAATTGTCATATCGCTTCGCTTACCATTGGACCCGTTTATCCGCAATAATTTTAATTTTAACTTTAATAACTTCTTATAAAATTAAAGTATCATTTTAATTCGTATCCGAAATTAATTGCATTTTCACTGACATACATTTTTATAACATTAACCGCGGGTGTAAGTGCTACATCAAAACTTAACAGTGACACGCGCTTACCTATTTGTACATGGTCCTTTGAGCCTCACAGAAAGGCACTGTGGGTTATTAACATACAAAAAACATATATATATAAATAACAAATAATCAGTGAGAAGAAGTGCGGTTACACCAAAGTACATATAAAAAAAGATGTAAAAATGAGTTAATCATAACACATGTGCAGTGAACCAAAAAGTAAATGTAAACATACATATATAAATTAACGAAAAGGTTAAAGTGCTGTGACAAAAACCAAAGTGCGGTGCAAACTAATAAATACATATATTTACCAAAACAAATGCGGTGACAAAAAAATATAACTATGATAAAAACATACATAGATATGTATATTTAAGCTATTAAAACAATAAAGCACAAACGATAAAAATATATGTACATGCTTTGCTACATATGTATATACATATATAAAAAGTAAAAGCCAACTTCAAAGCATAAAATACACCAATAATCTAACAATAGGCCTAACAAATGCCGTAAAAACATATTAACAAACGAATTTAATTAAAGTGTGCGCCAAAACACAAAAAAACAATAAACACTAATCGGGCGCGGAAAATTAAAACACCTAACTACAAAACAAACATAATGCAAACAACTTAAACGGGCGCGAATAACCCCATGTAAATACAACACTGTCAATGAGCCCAGCCGGTGGATATTGAAGCAAGGAATTACAAAAAACCACATTATACCCTACAAAACCAAAGTGAGCATATTCAATTCATTTACTCCTAATATATCATGCATACTTGTATACGAGTATGTACGTAAAAACTACAGGTTTATATATATATATATATATTATTAAGCTGTAATATCAAATTCAGTTCAAATTTTCTGCATGTATTTCTTCTTTATTTCTTAAGTTCAACATGCAAAAAAAAAAATGTATATTCCTATTTTCATTTTGTGATAACGGATTTTAGTGTAAGAACAAGTAAACATATGCACCATTAAGTCTGCGTTCAGTTAGCTTGAATTGAAATACCGTTACTTCATATGAATTTTCGTTCTTTTTGCATAGATTCTATTGTGTTTTAATATAAATATTCGTTTAAAAAGCTCGTGACGCGTTTTAATAATATTTAAAAATGGAAACCAAAGGAAAAGAAATTAGTCTGTCGGAAAGAAAATTATCATTAAGTTGTAGAAAGATGGCGAAATTGGGCAAACTATTGAAAAACGTATTCTTCTATCCAGCGCGTCGTAAACAATTTAAAAACCGGAATTTTAACGTCTTAAATGCGATCTGGTCGTCCGTAAATTATCAGCCCAGAAAGAACGGAAAATAATAAATATGGTGAAAGTTAACCCACGAATTACGTCCAAAAGATTATTGAAAACGTAAATATAACAATTAAAAACAATTTGTGCCGGAACTGCTAGAAAAATTTACGAAAAGCTGGATATCATGGTAGAGTCGCTCGAAAGAAACTATATATTTCACTGGTAAACAAGCGAAAGCGAATTGAATTTGCTCATGATTATATAAATAAGTCGCCGGAATTCTGGAGACAAGTAATATTTTCGGATGAAAGTAAATTTTGCATTTTGGCATTAAAGTCAACAAATTGTGTGGCGCAAGTCAGGAACTGCCTTGAAAAGCAAAATCTTGTTGGTATAGTTAAACACGGAGGTGGCGGAGAGTATGGTGTGGAGTTGCATGGCAGCTTGAATTTATTGAATCCACAATGGATAAATGGGGTTATTTGAACATTTTAAAAACAATTTGAAACAAAGTGCAGAGTATCTTGGACTATCTTCGACGTTTTGGTTCCAACAAAATATTGAATTTAATTTTCTTTATCATTTTCAATACTTTTGTAACTAATTTAAAAGCTGAACGCAGACTTAATGGTGCCTATGTTTATTCTCCTTACACTAAAATCCCGTTATCCCAAAATGAAAATAGGAATATAGATTTTGTTTTTGCATTTTGAACTTAAAATATAAAGAAGAAATCATGTAGAAAAATTGAACTGAATTACCTATTTACATTGTGTTTTTACTTCACTTAAAAATAGTGTCGGGTGAACGCAGACTTTATTGGCTATGTATATTGCATATATACATACAAATCCCACTTATACGTAATAGATAACAATAATAATTGCATACAAATATTTTTATATTAAATTTCATATTTACTCATAATAGTAAGAGGCAACGGAAAATACCTATTTTCTGTTCCGTTTTCGCGCCCTCTCTCTATTGCGAAAGAATATAAACACAATCCATACAAATATACGGCATAACAATTGCGTATCTCTTCTTACCCTACACCCGGTATTATTAAATTATTAATACTTTAATACCTATAGTAAATAAGTAATCTTTAAATTCGCCACTAATTAAACGGCGGCAAAGTCACTAAATTAAATTTGTTCAAACAAAAATCGGTTTAACAAAAATAATCATTTGAGCAATATTCATACAATTTCTTCATATACAGTGATATATACATTCTAATACGCATTGCAAATACTCCTTTTCTTTGGCAAAAACAAGCAGGATTGCATACAAAATAAAAAGCGTACATTCAAAATAAAACCTCAACAAAATCATATCGCAAGTAAATACAGTTTACACGAACAAAAATTATGATTCATTGAAACTTCAAATAAAAACGAATAATGAATGATAATAAAATCACAATACACCTGCAGGAGCTACACGCTCAAAACACGTGGCTAAATTAATTTTAGAAAGTGACAGGTTAATAAGATACTGCACTAGATTTTCATCTTCACAGATTCAAGACTGCTCTGAATCGGTACTAGATATCAAAATTAATATTCGACAATTTTGACACGTCTCTACGGCCATGACACCATAGTAGAAACAGAGCCATCAAATCTACCACAAAATTTTAAAAATTCAGCTTTCGTCAATTATGAAAACTGCTTAGACCAGTATGAAGCTACAAGCTATGATCTCCGATCAATTAAAGCTAATAAAGGCTATTGTACCTACTCCACATCCGAGAGTAGAGCTGCCACAACTACAAAGTCAAGAGGCAAAGGCAAGTCCATCTCAAGGTGCCCGCATGTGGCACAGAAATATTTCATGGTGTTGAACAATGGCCTTCCTTCTGGAACATGTTTACAGCCGTTTACATAAATCACCCAAAATTATCAAATGCACAAAAATTGTATCACCTCCGATACAAAACAAAAGGTCAAGCAGGCGTAATAGTAAACCAGTTCGCACTAAATGCCGATAATTTTAATTTGGCTTGGGAAGCCCTTAAATCTACATATATAAAAATGAAAGAATATTGGTCGATAAGCGAGTAACGATACTAATGAACTTGCCTAAGATTCAAAAGGAAACAATTGAAGAATTTATAAAACTGCAAACCACTGTTTCTAATTGCTTGTCGGTTCTATTGACACAAAACATTCCCACAGACAGCTGGACCCAATACTGGTAAATATATGCACCGCCGCTTTACCAGAAAAATCGTTACTTTTTTAGGAGCAAGCGTCCCCATCTCGAAAAAAAATATCCAACGTGGCAACAAATGAAAGAATTTTTAATTACCCAATACGAAATCGTAGAAGGGATAGATAAAAAAACAAATGGTCAGAACGAAAACCGTTCAACAAGACTTAAATCGAAGCTTCAATAGACCTCAAGCCAGCAGCAACTACAACTTCATGCCAACTATGTACAGAAGGGCATATGCTCAAATCTTGCGAGAGATTCAAAAAATTTTATATTATCGACCGAAAAAAGTTTGTAAGAACAAACAGACTTGGTACAAATTCCTTGTCACATGCGTCATAAACGACATAATTCTATGCGTTATTATAACAATTTTTCCAACTCACCCCCAAACAGCGCAAATATAAACAGAGCCACGGGTTTAGTTGCAACAGCAAATCCCGAAGTGCTAAATCCCGAAAATTGCCAAGAAGCACCATGCTGATCAAAGACATTAAAAACTCAAACGCTACACAGCGAAAACAAGTAGGGTACTACTACCCACAGCAGGTGTTTCCATCGAACACCGAGGAGGACTATTTAAACTTAGGGCCGTAATAGACCAAGGATCACAACGATCTTTCATAGCGTCTAGGGCACAAAATAGGCTACAACTGCCAACAAAACAAG